CTTGGGTTTTTTTCGGTTAAATATCAGGTATGAATTTTTTTTGTCATGTCATATTTTAGTCATTTTTATATTGGTCTTAATTTTTTATTAAACAAATCTGAACATTTTTAGTTTGTCTAATTATGTGTTTCTTTTTTTTGGTCAATTTTAATCTTAGTCTAATTATTGTTGATTTAAAAAATAGTACATTTTATTCTTAAATTAAATTAAGAATGGTCTGATTATATTATATTTGTAAAAAAAAAAGTTAATTAAATTTTTTTTTTTTTTAGTCATTGAAAATAATATTTTATATGACAAGAAATAGCAATTAATATATAAATTAATTATAATTATATATAAATTAATATTTATTTATAGCAAAAATAAATATTAAAACATTATATATATATATATATATATATATATATATATATATATATATATATATATATATTGTATAAAATAATGTTTAATTTAAAATCATTTAATTTTCATGATGGCATTTTTTTGTCATCTTCACTGACAAAATCAAAAAACCCTTCATTATCAAACATTTCATCAGTAATTAATTATATTGACAAGATTAACACTGGTTGGGAGTTTTAAAAACTCTAAACGTCGGGTCTCAGAGGTGGTCATCATCCGGGTGTTTAAAGTGCAGTTTTTCCCAGTGTGAAATACATACATCATACATTTACCAGCCCATAGTCCCTCTCCTCGAATAAATCAGGCCACAAATGGTTAAAAGTGGACAAAAGAGACGGATTTACACACCAGGTGTGAACAGGAATGTGTCCCCCTCGTCTATTTGTGATCCGATCGACCAAAACACATCTAAATACCCGGTGCCTGAAGTGATTGAGGTGTTCTGAAGGCGGGAGTTAAAAACTTTATAGTGTAATAATGAGTTTGATCAAACTTCTAATCCCAAGTTTAGTATTCCAGTCATGCTTGACTTCAGAAACTAGTGTTCGTTTGTTTGGTCTAGTGTGTGCATATGAGTGTGTATTGGTAGAGTTTGTCAGTGTGTGTGATTTGCGCATTTAAGATGATGGCTTATCATGCTCCAGACAGAGGATTTGTGTTTGTGTAGTCTGAATGAGTGTTTGTGTAGTCTGAATGTATGTTTGCATATGTTAACTGATTCTCTCTGACAGGCTTCGTAAACTGTTTACACACAGTAGCTCATTGTCCTGTCCTTATTTGCCCAGCTTGAGTCCTGATGGAGTCGCACATCTTCACTTCTCGGCTAGTGAAGGCCAACCGTGTCTTCAGGCCTGTTGCTGCATCGGTGCTCTGACATTTTGTCCTTTTAAAAGCTCTGTGTGTGTGTGGACGGGTATGTCTCTGGTTCGGGTCGTAGGCTGGGGCTAATTTACAGACTGGTCACACACACACACACACACCGCTCTAGTTCTTCTAGACCACAACAAGTCCTTCATCAAGCAGGACATATAAACAGAACATGAGGAGGTCAGAGACGCTCTCACACACACACACACACACACACACACACTGCAGACTTCATACCGTGAGATTAAAGAGAGTTTTAGTTTTTATTGAGAGGTCCCCTTATTAGCTACAGCTATTCTTTCTGGGGTCCTGAAAAGAAAATACACAAACACATATACAGTATATACACACATCAACTATCAACAAATATAAAAACACATTCTACACTTACACCTATAAACATACCTACACATATTCGCACACATAAATAAATAAATATAAACATTCAGTTATATTGTTTTGATAGATGCTGTTTTACATATCATTTAAATTTATTGACATCATTAGTAAGCAGGATCTGTTTTGGCAGATTATTCCATTCTTTCATACCTCTGAACACAATGAAAAGGCATTATGGGTAAAGTGAAATTACCTTTAGTTGCATGACTAGTACTGTACTGGTGATTTTCTACACTAAAAGAAAGATAATTGAACAAAACGGAAGGAAATTTTGAATTAGAAATATTTCTTATGAAAATTAACTATGAATACAACAATCTATCTTCGACAGTGTTGGCTCTAAAAAAGTAATTAATTACTAGCAGGGCTCCAGACTGCGACCAAATGGTCGCATTTTGCGACCAAAAATTGAGAGTGTGCGACTGAATATTACATCCAGTCGCACACGTGCGACCAGTAAATTTGCCACACGTTAAACGCATGGTAAAGCGTGGAAGAGGCGCGTCAATGAATCCGTGACAAGAATAGCGCGCGTAAACGTTTGTGGGAAGGAGACAGAAACAAATATCACAAACTGATGTGCGTCTGAGCAATCAGCGATCTATCGACTCTTTAGTCGTTACCTAGCAACGAATGCAAACAAAATGAAAGTGGAACGAAAATACGCCACTCATGTATGATTAGGACCGTGGAGCTGCAGCAGCAGCGATCCGAACCATTGACAAAATAAAGCCCCGAACTTGCCAGTCGCGGGCCGATCTCGATCACGCAACACTGTTACTAGGAGATCCAGTGAAGAAATTCATTGAATTCGCCTCAGAATTAATAACATCAACACCACGAGATCCAGTGAGAAACACTCCGATTCGGCGCAGAGTTCTGTTATAAACCATATCAGATCAAACAGCGCTGACGTGGAAACCAGGAAAAACACTTATAGAAGGCTTTCAGTCCACAAATCAGCATAACAGAACCATGAATTTAGGCAAGTTAACTCTTACCATAAATATGATAATGTGTAAGTAGCCTACTACACATCCTTTCCCAGCACTTCAATAATATCATATATAAATGTTTTATTTTTTTTTGTATTTTTTATGTGATTACCATACCAACACATTTTTTGTTCATCCTTTAAAGATTGTCCTTAAACGAAAAATTTTAAGATGTTGGAAAACTCTTATTTAAACACTTAAAATAATAATAATAATACCATTGTAAACAGTAGGATGTTTATTGGCTATTTTCACTCCATATACATATTTTCACTACTTTTATTAATTAATATTAAGACATTATAAATGATAAAAACTAAAGTTAATTTCATCTACACCTGCACCCTAAATTAAGCTTAGTGATTTATTGTTAGCCCCAGTGCTACCAGATTTTTTTTTTTTTTTTATAGAACTGTGAGTTCTCATTTGAGGTGATGCTGCCCTCAACTTTGGGTCTGGAGCCCTGTGAAGTTAAAATAAAACAGCATATCATAATGTTAAGTCTGTTTATTATTAAAGAATTTGTCAGTATTACAGTTATTTTGTGGGAAATTTGAATAATTGCATTGCAAGCTTATTTAAGGTGTGCCCCTAAATTTTCTGCTTGCGCTCCTAAAATTTTCAGTCAGGGGCAACAGCGCTCCTAGTAAAAAAAGTTAGTCTGGAGCCCTGACTAGTTACTAATTGCCTCTTCAACAGTATAATTAGATTACTGTACTAATTACTCTCTCTAAAAAAGTATTTAATTACTTTTAATTACTAATTACTTTCAAAATCCCATATCAATCTCAACCAGCTGAATAATACAAGGATAGACATGAATCTGTTTTAATTCTTTCAAATAAATACTATAAAATTGCATGAATTATCATTAAACTGACAAAAGGTGGAGAAGGTTACATTATAAAAACATACTTTTTAGCATCAGACAATACTTTTTGATGTTAAACCCACTATTGTTTTATGTCTGATCTCACTTTATTTTACAATAATTCATACGAATTTGTACGAGTGCAGTCGTACAATTTAGACACCTCATAAAATACGTACGAATCGCTGTGAGATCGGATTGATCCATACACAGTATTTACCTCAATTACATCAGAAGTAACTGTAATTAAATTACAGATAAATGAAGAGTAATCCCTTACTTTACATTTTCAAGGGAAATGTAATTAAATTACAGTAACTAATTACTTAGTAATTAGTTCAATCTTTTGATGTTGATTATTTAGCGAGTTTCAAGAGTTTAGTTTTCCTTTTAAATGAAATGTTAAACATTTAGTGCACTCTTTTGTTATGATTATTTGTTGATTTGATAATTTTTTTCGTTTGCCAAACATTTCGAACGCTCGTCATCTAGAAAATGAAGTGAAAAAAGCCAAAAATATCCCAATTAATATTTATTATTGAGTGTTTATTTGTCTGTTATTCTCTAAAAAAAAGTCTCAAACTTTTTGTTTGAGTGTATGTTTGTGAATTTGTGTATATATGTGTGTATTTTGTAGGTTTTTTAGATTTTTGTTGATTTTTTTTTTCGTTTGCCAAAAACGTCTAACACTTGTCATCTAGAAAATAAAGTGAAAAAAGCAAAAGCGTGTGTGTATTTATATGTATGTTTTTGTTTTGTTTTTACATGTAAATCACTTCATTAATATTTAGCATTGAGTGTTTATTTGTCTGTTATTATCAAAAAAATGTCTGTGTGTATGTTTGTGAATATGTGTATTTATGTACTTTGTAGGTTTTGAAATATTGGAATACATAAATGTTCTTTTTTTTTTATTTAACATTGTGTGTTATGACGGATTGATTAGCGGTTTTCTTTTAATTTGCAAATCCTTGCTTCAGTCATGAATATTAAAGCAGGTTTCTTTCAGTTTTGACCTCGCCTAATAACCTTGAGGGTCAATGAATATAATTTTTCTTTTAACACTATTCGTTATTTCCTCATTTTAGAGGTTTGAATATATTAACGAGTTGGTGGGTTAAACAGATGCTTGAAATTCGGAAATTTTCCTCTTTTTAATTAATTAGGACGCATTAATCGATGTATTAATGAAACGAAGGGAATATGATGGCAAACGGACCCTCCGCTGTGCTGTTCAAACATGCTTAATGGCTGCTACGTTTATTTGCTAATTGGTATGACAAGACCATTAGTGTTATTTACTTAATTTCTCCAGAGTTAGCAAAGCATCTAATCCCCATCTGTAGCTCCTCAGGGTTCGTTGTTTCAATTGTTCTTGCTTCAGTTTTTTCATTCTATCGCTGTACAGATGAGATTAGCTTTTTCTGTAGTAATGTAGCGCATCTCATGTGTTCTCGCAGGACTTCCGCGGTTCCTCAGTCAGCCGGAGGGCGTATCTGTGCGCATGGGCGGCTCTGAGATGCTGAGCTGTGAGGTGATGGAGGAGCTCGTCCCGTTCACGCGCTGGGAGAGGGACGGTCGGCCCGTGGAACTGGATGCCAGAGTGATTCAGCTTCCCAGTGGAGCTCTGGTCATCAGCAACGCCTCCCAGACCGACGCCGGACTCTACCGCTGCACAATAGATGCTCTGGGGCCGCCGAAAACCACAGAGGAGGCCGAACTACAGGTGTCCGCAGGTACAGACGCCATGATTGGTGTGATGGTAACGGCCCGGAGGATCTCAGACCAATTTCAGAGAGAATTTTTATAGAATAAGAGCGTGACATAATACATAATTTTCCTATAATATGATTGGTTCTTCAAATGTATAATTCAGCAAACGCTCCGTGTAACGCTTCACAATTCAGTTTTCAGACCGTACAGTGCAAATGCAAAAGTGAAAAATGGAAACCAGACATTGATTTTTCTTGTTTTTCCAGTTACATTATCAATGGATAGTTGAGCCCGACCGATAAAGGATTTTGAAGGCCGATACCGATACAAATATTTGTTGGTTTTAAAATCCGATATTCCGATATTTCGGCCGATATTATTACTATTTAAGAAACGTGCAACTAAACATTAACAGATTTCCCTAACATTAGTTATTTATGAGTTTTAACTAAAATAATATGATAATATGACTTAAAAAAAAACGTGTTTCTTTCATTGTCACAACAGAACTGACTGATGATAGTGGCATTAGCTAGCTTTGTGGTTAGCTAGTCTATGATGAGCCATAATTTAGCAATGGATGACGTCATACTGCAAATTGTAAAACATACGTTTTCAATATAACAGGCCGAGGAGAGATGATACGTCTCATTGCTGTAACTGTCACGTGCTATTAAAGAAATACTTCAGTCACATTGTCAAGAGTTAAAAGGACAGTCAGTCAACTACACTGTAGGTGCGTTCCATTCGACCGTAAGTGGACTGCGAAGTGGACTTCACAGGGTATTTCGCCATCTTAAGTGAGATTCCAATTCGAAGGGAACGAACATGTTCAGTTCGAAGGGCACTGCAAACGGCATAGGGAATAAGGGAACATCGATACATCACTTCACAGGAAGTCAGTGAAGTCCACTTCAACTGCTATACCGTGTTCAGGGAGTAGGGAGCAGTGAACACTGCGTAGGGACCCTGTCGAATGGAACGCACCTCGTGACAACGTAACGTAACTATTACTTGCTAATTCCGCTTCACTCTCGGCTTATTTAACAGCAGCTGGACTTGATAGTCACACATTTTGTTGCTTATTTGAGTTTAGAGAACTGATGGGGATGATCTTTTAATTGTTATTCAAGCAATGACCAACTCAACGAGTGTTGCCAACAGGAACGGTGTAGAGTGCCCTCTGGTGGACAAACCATACAACTCCAACACTCATGACATGGTTTGAGAGCGTTTCGTCCGTTTTTGTTTTATTTTTGAAATATTCGTCTATCGACCGTTATAACTGCCGATACCGATAGTTTGGAAAGTGCCTAATATCGGCCGATAATATCTCAAAAATCCATCACACCGTCTATGGCCACTCCCACCAGTCTGCTTTGGATACGCTTACCAGTGTCAAATACCGCCTTGCTTTAGTAGGAAATACCTCTTAGTAAACTTGTAATGGTGTCGACTTCCAGGTGCAGAGAGTAAACAAACCGCAATAGATCACAAAACCATGGCGGTTGTAACAGTCTTACAAAATCCCTAGTGTGTGTGTGTGTGTGTTTGTATCTCCGCAGATTCGGGTGTTGAGGAAAAACTAGAGACTCTCCAGGGCCCGGTTTCTGTGGCGAAGGTTGTCGGGGAGAGCGTGCTGTTGCCATGCGTCATGAAGGGATACCCGGTTCCCGTGATCCGCTGGACGTTTAACGACCGCTCGATTGACGAAGGGTAAGCGCATCAGAACTGTGTCCTTGCACTCCGACAGAACCCTTCAGATAAACGCTAAATGTTGGCTCTGAGAATCTTTCATTTCCCTGTTGAATTCTTGGTTGTGTCAGAAATGCGTTCAGGTACAAGCTTAGAGCACTGCAGTCAGATCCAGCGTCGCTCAGTCACACTCTGCATACTAAAGCAAAAAACAATCCATTCACTATATCCGCACTATCGACGATCGAAGAGCGTAAAATATCCTTATTATCCACCAGAGGTAATTACTGACGCCTGTGTGAATGGATATTGTAGAGGCGTGCGGCGTTCCCACGTGGCCATTGTGTAATTTCGTATGTGCGCTGCATAGTGATGATGCTCTTAACTGAAACACGGCTTCATCTGAAGTCGCGCACGCCTTTTACATGCTGTAAATTGCTTTGAATGGTACAGTTCCAGAGGAGCTTTGGCTGTTGTCATCGGGTTGACATGAATAATGTAGAAAGGACCGAATTGTCACGGCATGTAAATCGGCTGTCAGGCGTCCAGCGCTCTATCATTCATTGTGCTGGAATATTTACCCTGATGTGATTTCAGCGGTGGGGTCGGTGATGTTTGCATTGTGGCCGTGGACAAACGCGATTACGTGCTCGTATCGCCACTTTGTCTCTTTTCATTTCTCAACCCGCTGTGTTTTTTCTCTCTTATGCTTGGATTATCGTGTTCTTGCAAAGATGCTGATAACCTGTATCCAAATGCACAAGATCTTCAAGGTCAACAGCAGAGCTGACGGATTTGAGATGTTTGTTCAAATCTTTAACTCTAAATATTAAACTTTGGCATTTGTGCTACAGATATAAATGACAATCTGACGCAGAACGACATTAAAAGCTGCTAGTCTGGCAGATTGAGTGGACTGAGAGTTGAGAGTTCACTTTTAAAAAAACTTTTGCTGATAATTTACTCGCCCCCGTGTCATCCAAGATGTCCATGTCCTTATTTCCTCAGTCGAAAACTAGAAATTTTCTCCATATAATGGACTTCAATGGGGACCAAACGGTTCAAGGTCCAAATGAGAGTTTCAGTGCAAACTGTTCAAAGGGCTTTAAACGTCACCACGATGAATAAGGGTCTTATCTAGGTCCCTTCGAGTCATGACTCGAAAAAAGATTCGTTCATTTTGATGAACAGGAGAGTCACGAACGCTCGTCACAGAACAGAGCAAGGCGAGCGTTTGTGCTTATAAAACTTAAACTTTTTCATTTATTTTTTAAATGAGCGATCGTTTCGCTTGATAAGACCCTTATTCATCGTCTGGTGTCGTTTAAAGCCCTTTGAAGCTGCACTGAAACTCTCATTTAGACCTTGAACCGTTTGGTCCCCATTGAAGTCCATTATATGGAGAAAATCCCGGAACGTTTTCTTGGATGACATGGGGGTAGGTAAATTATCAGCAAACGTTTTTTTAAAAGTGAACTAACAGCGCCTGAGTGTCTGCAACCATACTTAAGATTAACTTACATGCTGTTATGTAGGCCCAAACATTATAATCGCTAAACTAACACAATGCAAAAAGACGAAGGCATGATAAAAAAGGTCCATAGTTTAAAAACCTGTAATATTGAGTTAATAAACCAACACTTTCTCTCCTGTGAAAGGTTATCCCGTTACTTTTTCACCATCCTATAGTTAATTTAATTTCAACTCTCTGTTAACGGAAACATTATCAGTTTTAATTGAGAATAATAAAACTGATGCCCTGACAGTGACCCGCCACAGGAGTGGTCTCAAATCTAGTTTTCACATTCCTATCCCTGCAGAAGACTGACCTCGACAGATCCTAATCCGATTGGAGTATTTCGGAGGTATTGTGTGTAAGGTCACGTTAGATTTGCCAAAGGATGACAAAAACGCTCGGCCTGTTTTCTGACGGCCGCTGCCCTAATAAGATTGGGGATAAAGCTCAATCCCTGCGGCGGCCCATGCAAAATTAATGATTGTTTGTTTTTCTCTTATACATTTTATTTTGGAACACAAGTGCTTTGAGAAAAGACATTCAGGAAGGGAGAATGAAAGTGTAGGATGGTTTCGTGCCCAGAGGGTTTTAATGAAGAGCGTGGCAGCGGTGCATTAAAATGCCGTCTACGTAGGCGGCTGATTAGTGTTTGGACCAGAGCCATAGTCTTCATAGGGTCTCCATTGAGATTCAGCTGCTGTCTGTTGTAATGCATCCTCGCCGTTTGGATCCCGCCCACCGTAATCTGAAACGATGCTTTCCATATAGATTGAATTGATGGTATCAGCGAATTGAGCAGACTAATCATGACCTGTTTAAGGCGCTAACCACCCCCTTCAGCTCGCGTGCTGTGTCGATTGAAAGCGGCTAAATGTCTAATTGCGGTTCTTTGCCGGTTGTCTGTGCAGGACTGATGATTGCTGACAGACTCTATTTACGGCGTAATTGCTTCTCTCATGGTCTTCGGGCGATGTAATGTATTCCCGATGCTGGATACATCCTAATAATGTCATATTACCCACAATGCCCAGTCCCTCAGAGGGGCAGACTGGAGAGACTACATCTCTACTCGAAATCCAAATCTTCCTTTCAGAGTTTCATTTTTTTCCCTGTGGAGTTGTGCTTACTCTGTGAAAATGGGCTTGATTACTCTCCGTCTCGTAAGAGATCTGCTTTAGAGTTTGATCGAAATTATTTTAAAGGAATATTATTTTTTTTTAAGTGTTTCAAACCAATTGCATCTTTGCATGGCTATTATAGTTATATAATTCAGATCAACATTTCGGTTGTGATTCACTAACAAATGTCATGTTTTTGTAACATTACACTGGGTATCATTGTATTTTACATTTAAAGTGATATTTCACTTTGAAATTAATTTTTGGTGTGTTTTATCTTACCTCAAGGGCATCCAAGATGCAGGAGTCTTTGTTTCCGCAGTATTTTCAATTTTGATATTTTTAGGTCAAAGCGTTCTTGTCTATCAGTATAATGGAGGTCTATGGTCACCACCTCAAAGAATAAATACTGTTGGTTTTCTCACACAAACCGCTCATTTCGTGTCTTAGGCCATCAATGTGTACTTACACTTACGAGTCATTAAATCATGTTTAATTTGGACTTCTCTGTGCACGCTCTTTGAGGTGGTGACCATAGACCTCCATTATATGACCGACAAACAACAACGGTTTGACCTAAAAATATCAAAATTGAAAAGACACCTACATCTTGGATGCCTTTGAGGAAACATAAAACATATCAAAAATTAATTTTAATGTTTAAATCTTAATGTCCCGTCATCTAAATAATTAAAAACACAGTTAAAAGTAATGTTTAGCAAATCTCAAAGAATATCTATTTTTCACACTGTACATTATAATGTTGTGATGCCTAAATGTACTTGAATTTATTTTATTATTGTATTGGTTTAAATACTATAGTTGTATGACTTTAATATAACTTTTTTTTTAGTTTAATGTTTACCTATTTTTTTATTAAATATATTTAGAGGTCACTATAAACTGTTGTTTGGAATTTCACATCAGGGTAAATATTCAATGAAAAAAATGAAATGAGGGGAGAATAAATAATGGCATTTTTTGTGACCGCGTGAGCTAAGCTTTAAAGATAGGAAGACGCCAAGAATGAACACTAAGAGCGCATCGTCTTGAAAACTTGTGTGTTTATTGGCTTTAGGATTCCAGCATGGAGAACCAGTGTTGAATAAGTCACATTCTTGCCCTCCTCCATTGTTTGCTTCTCCGGCATGTTGTTGTAACTCTAATCTGAAGGTTGTCGACCGGCGTAAACAAATCACCTCCTTATCAGCTCAGGCTCTCATTCATTACACACCATGCATAAACACTCATTTAGAGCCCAATCCCTCAAGTGATTTTTTAAGACGGGTCAGATAGACGCTTCTAAACTGATCTGAGGCCAGTTTCTCCGTGCGTTTAATCATTTAAAGAGTGTCTGGATATGGTGGGAGAAGTAGGCCCAGATCGTCTTGTGTCTTATCTCGTGTTTAAATCACACCACGTCTCGGGATTAGAGCCGGAATGCTGTTTAGTGCGGATCACGGAGGAGTTCCTCGGATGAATGAGGATCGCTTGCTTCACTGACGAACACCTTTTGTTCCAGTTTTGCGTATTCCAGACGGGACGCGGTAAGATGGATGTTTGTGTTGATGACAGATACTCGACCTCCTCTTACACAAACGTCAGGCCGGGGAAATTTATAATATAAGTGTATTGTGAATCCAGTCAGGCGTCGCACGCGTTCAGCCAAAGCAAGCGGCTCCTCCTGATGTTTTGTAGGGCTGGGTAATAAATATAGATTTCTCGATATTAATCGATTCTCATTTTTACGAACTGATATCGAATCTTGAATCGATTAGTCATCCTGTTTCATTTGAATGAATGGATCATTGTATCGCGGCTGCACGCATCCAAAAAATCGCATTAATCTTTGTCCTTTGTTACTATTGATATGAAACAAAGTCTCAATTTTCAAATTACGTCCATTTTCTTTAGAAATTCAAAAACATAAATAAGGTTTTGTCGCTGTGGCGTGAGATCAAGAGAAGCAGCAGCGCTGATCTATCTTCCGGCTTAATAATACCAGTCACAGCGCCAAATAAACATGAAAGTGTGTTAAAGATAGAGTACAACTTATCGAAATCCGTATCATGTCACATTGATTCGCTCAATCAGCGTTTCAACCGTGGAAAGATGTCAGTTAAACAGCTTGTAATCAATGTATCGTCATATTTACCTCAGAAAACCCACATAAACTAGAAAAAATAACTCTATAGAGGAGCATTTTGCTAAATATATACACCATATTACATATGCATTATAATCTTAATGTTCTTCAATATTTAATGCATATTTTAATAAATCTGGCAAGTTTTTATGACAGTCACCATTTAAATGTTTATAGTTCATATGATCTTCTTATTATAAAAATAAATAAGTGTAATTTAAGTGTTTGTATAGCTACAAAACAGTTCATTATTACCTTCATATTCGGCTAATGAAGCCTATAGGCTACAGCTAGACTCCCATAGTTTACAGCAGGGTTCCTCAATTAATTTTTACCAAGGGCCAAATTCTGCTGACAATACAGAGCCAAGGGCCACCAACCACAATGTTATGACCTCAAAGTTTGCTCTGCTATTTTTGTTGTTGTTGTTTTGTTAAAAAGAGTCACAAATCACCACATAGCCCAATTATTCTATTTTTATTTATTTTTATGTATTATTTTCTTTTTCAAACGAGTCTGTTTTATTCAAGAAATTTTGAGCAGATGTTAAAATGGTGTTTGATATTGTCAGACTTACAGACAGCCACGGTCTGCGTGCATAGCAAACACGTTGGCTTTGCGTTGTGGTGGTCAGGCAAAATAAAACAAAATTGTTCAGTCCATTCAGATTTGAATCATCTGTTTTCTGTGTCCACTTTTCTTTTCTTCGCACTTGCCATATTTCTGTTGCGCGCGAATGCCTAGATACTGCGTTTGAATTTTTGCTTACACTGATGTTACCATGACAACCTGGAAATGAGCGCGGGCCAAACATTTTCCTTTCGCGGGCCGGATGTGGCCCACGGGCCGCCTATTGAGGAACCCTGGTTTACAGCATTAGTTAAGAGATTTCCTTGAGAAAAATGACCATTTATTGTAACTGATATCCAAAATAATCAATAATCGAAATCGAATCGAATTTCAAGCTTGTGAATCGAAATCGAATCGAATTGTGAAATGTGTCTCAATACCCAGCCCTAATGTTTTGTAATACTTTAATTGGTTTGTTTTTTCAATAGTAATATCATGCATTCTTCTGGACAGCCTGGACGTGTTTGCATGCATTTTAAACATTTAGAGTAAATTGATTTCGTTTTTAATGGTTGATCGGCATTAGCAAACTACAGTCAATTTAAACAGGGGAATTCTGGGAAATGGAGGATGATAAAGCCTAAATCGATACAGATGTTCATTCAGATGTTCTTGAAAATAAAGTTTAAGAGAATAACATTTGATTGAAACTACAACCAGGATTTAAAGATTCAGCTGTCTAGTTTTAGCTTCAGATGTCATCAAGTGTGTGGTTTTGTCAAGTCACGTCAGCTTTATTTATACAGCGCTTTCTACAATACCGAGAGTTTCAAAGCAGCTTTACTGAGATAACAGGAAAATCATGCAGCAAAGTTTGTTTCTGGAAGAAAATAGCGTCACAGTCCTTAATGTTTCATTTTTGTTTTAAGAAAGATATTAATTTAGTTCATTTATATATTTATATAGCCGCTCTGGAGTAAACCGTGATGTCATCGTCCAGCTCAGTTCAGTTCTCATATAATGGTGTCAATGCAGGCAGATCAATAATATTGTTGAATATTAGATTAAATTTGTTCAGATCTTTGAAAGATATATTTATTACTTAATGAGCACTTATTACTAGGGATGGGAATCGATTCAGATGTTCGATTCGTAAGCTTTCGATTCGATTTCGATTCCTGATTTGATATATAGAGAGAGAGAGCCGCTCTGGAGTAAACCGTGATGTCATCGTCCAGCTCAGTTCAGTTCTCATTTATATATGTCAATGCATTGTTGAATATTAAATTAAATTTGATCAGATCTTTGAAAGATATATTTATTAGTTAATGGGCACTTATTACTAGGGCTGGGAATCGATTCAGATGTTCGATTTCGATTCGCAAGCTCTCGATTCGATTTCGATTCTCGATTCGACTATAATGAATATAGATGTAGACAGGATATTTGAGTTATCCCTGTACACAGGATCAGGTTATTTTATTTCTAAGATAGATAAAGATACATATATAAATATATTTAAAAAAAAAATTATTACATTGATCTTGTTTTTACATTTTTTGTTAACAGTTTATGCAACAAATGGAAGCTTGATTTCAATTTTTGAATTAAATTGAAAAAAGTAGCACAAATACATACAATAGAATAAAGACACAAATAAAGAGACATAAAAATAAAAGTTTTTTGGGTAGGTCAGAAATACTACAGAATCTGAATAAAGTAATCCAAGAGTAAAATTACACTGGATAGTCTTTTAGTCCTGACTGAATTAAATCGATTCTGAATCGACCACATTTAAACGATTATCGAAAAATCGATTTTTTCTGCCCAGCCCTACTTATTACCCATTTTAAACATTGAGTAGGATTTTACGGTGATTTAAAGGTGCAGTTCGCAGTTTTATACCGTTTTTTCCGAACATGTAAGATGTTATTTTTTCAACAAAACTTTTTTTTTCCATAAAATGACAAAATGGTTTGTTCTTAGTAGTGACCGTGTTCATTATCAAATCTGCATAAAGATGCATAAAAGTTGTCGCGTTTGTGTTGAAATGAGTAAATAATTTCAGAATATGCTGAACTGTCCTTTTAAAAACAAACTTTTTACCCATCATGCTCTGTTACCCTCCTCCATTCTGGAGTTTTAATGTGTGTGCTAAAAGTCAATTAATGAGGCTCTTTGTACTTTTATAGACTCGTCTTGTTTTTAATTTCTTTTTTAATTATCCTCCTTCGGCGAGCCGTCCTCGGGTCTCTCGGGGTCTTCCCGTAGCGTTCGCGGTCGCGGCATCATCTGACTTCTGTCATATCGTGCGTTTGACGAATCTCTCATTGGGTTCGGGACCTGGCGTCTGCGGCTGAGGATGATGGATATATCACCGCTGGAGTCCGCGGGGGCTTGAAGAAGTTATGAAACGTTATGTGATGGTGTTCAAAATGGTTTTAATTGTTTATGGATCCTTATGAGGTTAGACGTTCTCGCAGTGTTTAAAGAAAAATGTGATGGCATTTGGCAACAATTTACCGATTAAAAAATCTCTTCGGCTCACCAAGGCTGCATTTATTTGATCAAAAATACAGTAAAATCAGTAATATTGTGAAATATTTTTACAGTTTCAAATAACTATTTTCTACTTGAATACGTTTTAAACTGTAATTTATTCCTGTGTCCAAAGCTGTATTTTCAGCATCATTACCGTCACATGACCCTTCAGAAATCACTCTAATATGATGATTTGCCGCTCAAGAAACATTTCTGATTTTCTATTTTGCTTTTTCTTTTTTTAATTTAATGCATTCTTTCTAGAGCCCGACCGATAAAGGATTTTGAAGGCCGATACCGATACAAATATTTTTGGGTTTTAAAATCCGATATTCGATATATCAGTTATTAAATTGTTGGATTTCACACACGTGTAAAAGAAAAGCTAACTTTTCTGCACAAGATAGGTTTGATACTTTTTCTCTATGTCTAAATGTTCACTCCGCGCAAGTATAACTTACATTTTACAATGCAGGGACTGTAACTAGAGATATGCTAGTTATAAATACAGTAATCATTACTTTATTTAGGCAGAAAAAGTTCATTGTGGTTTCCAAGCTCATTAATGTTAACGTTATGATAGTGTGGCATTAGCTAGCTTTGTGGTTAGCTAGTCTATGATTAGCAATAGATAACATCATACTGCAAATTGTACAACATACATTTTCAATATAACAGGCCAAGGAGAGATGATTAAAGCGTGTTTCACCCGTTTTTATTTTATTTTTTAAATAATAATTTATCGGCCATTATAACTGCTGATACCGATATTTATTTTATATTTTACCGATATTTAAATGCATTTTGTCATTTTATGGATACCGATATTTTGGTATATCGATATATCGGTCTGGCTCTAATCCTTTCTGAACAAAATTAATTTAAAAAAAAAGGAAAAACGTCACTTTGAGCTGTAGATGTGAAACTTCTTGTCGAGTGTGAAAGTGATCAGGCATCGTTCCTAGATGGTTTCAGTGGGGTTTTCGTTTATTAAAGTGAGGTCTCTTCATCCTTCCTCTTTTCTCTTTACTTTCTCTCCTCTTTGCTTTGTTTGTTTCATCTTACATTAACTCGCTTGTCTCATCCCTGCCTCTGAATCGTTGGGAAGGAACCAGTTTGTTTTGCTCTAGAAACCCCACTACAGGAAAGTTGCAGTCAAGCCATAACGGAAATGAAATCCATACTGTATCCTGTTTTTAATTCCAGCATTAAATTCCTAAAAACGAATACATTTCCTGAAAGGAAAAGCCATCTCAACACGTCCTCACCTCCTTGTATCTCTTCGTTCCAGTCATGAGCGTTTTACTGTGATTGGCGGGGGAAGCCTGCAGATCGTCAACCTGACAGAGGAGGATGCTGGGATATACGTCTGCCAGGCGGACGGCGGCAACATGACCAGTGAGATCCAGGCGGAGCTCACGGTGCACGGTACGTGTCCAGAACAACTTCACATTAATCTCTTAGATGAATTGATTCACCAAACCTGCTGAGAATCATCTGAATTGTGAATGATTCAGCACTAAACAATTATGAGGCTTTTGAAGCGCTCGCGTGTCTGGACAGCGTTTTCCTCTGCGCAGAAGGAACTTCAAAGCGTTGTTTTGTTTTTATTTATTTATTTTTATGTTTTCTTTTTTTTTGTTTTTCTTATCTCTCGGCTGAACATCAGTTTTATTTTTCAGAGAGTCAATCAATATTCTGCATTAAATCTTAAAATCGTCTGCTCTTGATATCACTCAAACTCACTGCCATAATTCTGACAGGACGTGGTCAGCTGACCAACCACAATTTTCTTCTTTTTTTTATGTGAGGCAAGTAAATAGCAACCAGATGATGTCACAATAAAAGCCTGGCGTGCAACACAGTGGTAATTCACTCAAAAAAGCGCTGCAGAAATCAAAAACCCAGCAAAAAATGATTGCACAACGGGTCTTATGTAAACCCGTCTGTCGTCATTGTAGCACTGGAGTGAATCTGAGGATTTATATACAGCGCTTTTTCATGGTTTATGTACGAGACTCAATGTGTGTGACTTCAAGGTCAAATATCTGTTCTTCCAGATGGTTAAATACTGGTTATTACATTTACATTCTTGCATTTGTCAGACGCTTTGGGTAAAAGCAGTTGCACTGCATTCAAGGTGATGGTGGTATTCGTATTTGTTAAATGTTCTCTCAATATTTAGGTGATATTTAGGCTATATTTCTTTTTTTTTTCTATATTTCTTCACACTAAAATCTGTCTAACTTGAAAATTGACACGTCAGGTGATGATCTAGACTACCCTGCTGAAAAAAACAATAGAAACCATTACAGAAATGGTAATGGTTTCCACTACAAAACCATTACAAACCATCAGCCATTAACCATTAAAAGCATTACAAAATGGTGTCCATTAGCCTATGTAGTGTGTTTTGGGCCATATTCTATTAGGATGGATTGGTTTGTATAGGTTTCCATTACAAATTTGTATTGGTAATGATATATTTAATGGTTTCCATTACAGTTTGTATTGGTTCTGATTTGTAATGGTTTCCATTACAAACATGTATTGGTCATGATTTGTATATATTTAATGGTTTCCATTACAAATTTGTATTGGTCATGATTTGAACATATTTAATGGTTTCCATTACAAATTTGTATTGGTCATGATTTGTATATATTTAATGGTTTCCATTACAAATTTGTATTGGTCATAATTTCAACATATTTAATGGTTTCCATTACAAATTTGTATTGGTTATGATTTCAACATATTTAATGGTTTCCATTACAAATTTGTATTGGTCATAATTTCAACATATTTAATGGTTTCCATTACAAATTTGTATTGGTCATGATTTGTATATACTGTATTTAATGGTTTCCATTACAAATTTGTATTGGTCATAATTTCAACATATTTAATGGTTTCCATTACAAATTTGTATTGGTCATAATTTCAACATATTTAATGGTTTCCATTACAAATTTGTATTGGTCATGATTTCAACATATTTAATGGTTTCCATTACAAATTTGTATTGGTCATAATTTCAACATATTTAATGGTTTCCATTACAAATTTGTATTGGTCATGAATTGAACATATTTAATGGTTTCCATTACAAATTTGTATTGGTCATAATTTCAACATATTTAATGGTTTCCATTACAAATTTGTATTGGTCATAATTTCAACATATTTAATGGTTTCCATTACAAATTTGTATTGGTCATGATTTCAACATATTTAATGGTTTCCATTACAAATTTGTATTGGTCTTGATTTGTATATATTTAATGGTTTCCATTACAAATTTGTATTGGTCATAATTTCAACATATTTAATTGTTTCCATTACAAATTTGTATTGGTCATAATTTCAACATATTTAATGGTTTCCATTACAAATTTGTATTGGTCATGATTTCAACATATTTAATGGTTTCCATTACAAATTTGTATTGGTCATGATTTCAACATATTTAATGGTTTCCATTACAAATTTGTATTGGTCATGATTTCAACATATTTAATGGTTAGGACAACCTATGTGTGTGGGTCAGGTTTTGACCTGATCACTCCATCCCGACAAGAGCTGTTAAACCTGAAATCACATGGGACCAATTTTGACCAATGGCTGTGACCAGTTTTTAAAAACTGTATCTAGCCTATTAATCATGTGTAGCCTACATTAAATCATTATTATCAAACCAAAGGAAACATTCAATTTATTGGAGTCCTAATGGTTCATAATGGCATCCAACATGTAACCTATAATTTTCAAAGGTGTCCTATTGGTCCTTAATGGTATCCAATAGAAAACATAGAAGAAAGCAAATTACCAATAGAGACTTACTAGGACCATCACAGTTTCCATTAAAACCAATACATTTCCCTTTATAACCATTAAAACCATTAGGAATTCTGTAATGGTTTCTATTGTTTTTTTTCAGCAGAGTACTCCATCATTTAGGGCCTGCAATAGCACAGGCACGATGACCTCTTTGTTTCAGTCTGAACCGTGGGATAGATACACCATGATCGAAGACCTCTGGACGGATTGTATTGCGCTAGAAGCTCAGAGAGGTAGAGCGAGACAGGTTAAAATCAACCGTAAAGCGAACCGACAGCCAGTGAAGTGATGCTAGGATTGAGGTAATATTGTTGTGTGTGTGTGTGTGTGTGTGTGTGTGCATTAGACGGTCAGAAGCTGAGGCTATCTTTGATCTAACTCTAATTAAGCCATATCATAATTGGCTTTTCTAATGAGGTTTATTATTTCTTGTGTTGTTCGACACCGCTGATGCAAGAGATGCAGTATAACATCAAGAGTGATGTGGTGGGGTGTGTGTTCGTGATCTCTTCACCTCCGTGATCCGAGCTGTTGTTTTCACTCCCTCCTGCTGATCCGAGCCGGAACGGATGCGGTCGGCCCATCCAGACACATTCTGCTGTTTTCCATTAGCTTTATTCGCCTCGTTCGCCGGTATTGACGCACGTATGGAAAGGGTTGTGATCGAGCTCAGGAAGTTTAATCTCCCGTGGGAAGTCATGAAATCTGATTTCGGTTCTGATGGGTAAAAATAACACACTTTGTGTCAGACGGTAACACACACACACACACACCTCGGGAGGAGGGCGTTTAGGTGTGTAAAGCTGCATGTTTATGAAAACACTCACGCAGGCGCATGTTTGAACGTTTATATGGCGTGTACGTGTGTGCGACCGCATAAACCACCTACCAAAGGATTTTTTAGGTGGTGTAACTTTTCTTTTCTAAGTGAATGAGTGATCTGCACTCATATTTTTAGCCTGTGCTAATTTCATTGATGTGATTAATTTATACTTGCCTCTTCCAAGAGATATTTCTTGTGTTTGAGTCATTATCCATCTATCTTTCGCAAGGCTTTGGCTGTGACGTTTCTTCCCATCTCTGCTGTGAAACCCCGTGTTGGGGTTATTAAATACTGGCATTTTAATCTCTTAATATCTGCATGTGAAGTGACTCATAACTCTTTTGGCGCGGTTGTTTTTAAAAGCCGAGGTTCACATGCTGAGATTTTCCCCGGATTCCCTCTCAGATTAGCAGGATTGCAGAGAGCCGTGTAAAACGTTGTTAATACTTGCACTTTAAAAGTTACTCATAAAAGGAAAGGTTTGTGGGTGGCTAATGCAATGCTAAATCTTAAATCAGCAGTGGTGGAATGTAACGAAGTACAAATACTTCGTTACTTTACTTAAGTACATTTTTCACGTATCTTTACTTTACTTAAGTACAATAAATAGTGCCTACTTTTTACTTTTACTTCGTTACATTTTGCAGCAATTATTATACTTTCTACTCCACTACATTTCTACAACTTCTGTTACATTTTCGTTACATTTTCTGATCAGTTTTTCCCCTGCCAAAACGTAATGTTCGTTGCACGTTTGTCTCACCAGTGACGTTTGGTTGCCATAGATACAGTATATCAACCGGTCACACTAAATGCGTCTCACACGCAGTGTGTTTATCGTGCAAGTCATACGCGAAAATTTATTTTTACGTGCATAGGAAACACACCGTGTGTAATATATGTTTGGTTTGGTTAGGATTATGGCAAGCCAAGAGGTTCAGAATTACACCATAAATGAATCGCGTTTACTGCCAAACATAGTTATTGACATATAGTAAGGATAAGCATGATATTGCCTAATTGCAAGCTTGTTTCAGAAATGGTGACATTTTTTTTCATCATTATTGAACATCATTATAGGAGTAGGCTATTAGGTTGAATGAGTTAGAATTAAATGTTTTATTAATCATTAGAAAATAGACATTAAGATAATAAATTGTTATGCAAGTACTTTTACTTTTAATACTTAAAGTACATTTAAAATAAAGTACTTTTTACTTTTTACTTAAGTATGGTTGTCATTGTGTTACTTCTACTTTTACTAAAGTAAATATTTATCTGGGTATTTGTACTTTTACTTAAGTACTGAGATTCAGTACTTCCTCCACCACTGTAAATCAGATGTACCCATGTACAAAAACATATCGATGTCCATCAATCGATTGAAATAGTACATTGTTTTTAATGGGGGGGGGGGTTGACTACGATTTCACTTTTTTGATTTTAAACAGTGTGTAATGTTGCTATTGATGCATGAACAGTATCTGCAAAGTTGCAGCGCTGAAAGTTCAATTTAACCAGAGATATCGTCTTTTAAAAATCAGGAAGTATAATTGCCTACACAAACGACTGGATTGGGACTACAGCTGGGTTATGCTACGTCACCAACCCACACATTTGCATCAACCCTTCCTCGGGAATATGCAGAAAAGGACATGCGCGTATTTCAGCGGCACGTCGAGTGTGTTCACGCAGCTGTGTTCGAGCTTCCCACGTACGCTACTTCGTCAACAATGGATACAATTTATGTTTGATTATGTTCCTAAAAATGACGATGGTAATCTAGCTCTCTGTGCTGCGCATTTTACGGAAGACAGCTTCCAGAATCTCAACACCGGATTCAACAAGAAACTGTTACTAAAACATGAAGCAGTTCCGACTTTAAAACCACAGTTGTTGGGCCACAACCTGTAAGTAGGCAAAGACTTCATCATTTTAAATGTATTTGCATGTATAATTCCAGACGTAGCCGTTGTGTTTTATTTTTTTCAAATGCCAGCGCTGGCTTTATAGCCACTAGGCTACTAGTAATGCTATTGTGTCTACGACAAACGCGTACAAACATTATGGACCTGAATTTTATATAAGTACTAATGTTGTAAATGTATTTTTCATGTATGTATGCTTTATGACGTTATTTTCGATTTGATCAAGAACGTAAACATGCCAACGCTGTTTGAGTATGACATTAGTAGCCAGTCAGTTGCTATTGTTGCCAGTCAGATGCTATTGTGTGAAACAAACGTGTATATGGTTAAAAAATGTAGCAAATTATCATTCAGAAACGTTTATTAAGAGCCGTGTGTGAACTCGCTTCATCGCTGCTTTCTTGTTCTGATTCTGCCTCAAACTGATACTGCAGTTCGACACATATTTACTTCTGGACCGGAGCTCATGACACGGACGTTTCGCTCGTAAAGGTAATGGGCGTTAACCTTCCGGACAACGTGAGCGACAGTTTAGCCAATCACAACACACCGGCCCAAACAAACCAATCTGAGCCCACGACGTGTTTCTGAGGGAGTGGTTTCATAGACTCAGGAAGTCAACCGCTCGTTCGAGGACAGAGGAGAGCGCGCTTACAATAAAGGTGAAGTTTATGAAAAATAAGACTTTTTAGAAAAGAAAAACCATGAATACATGTTATATTGCACCCCATAAACACAATCATGCAAAGAAAAAAAGCAGTCAACACCCCCCCCCCCTTTTAATTTGTCGTTTAATGAAATCTAATACGTGTTGAACGAAGAATTACATAGATCCGACAACTACCGGGGATGCAAACAGCGCGCTTTTCAGCGCCTCACGCTTTTTTCACGTCAGTTTGGGTGACTTGTGTGAATCGTGCAGATCCGAAGAGATTTTTGTGGGGGTGGGGGGTGTCTGATTATAATTTCACCAACAATAATTCTGGATTGCCTCCACCAAACAAGTAAATAAAAATAAGCAAATCAGAACACTGCGGCCAAAACAGCAGTATGCGCGCAAGCGTGAACCACTAGCGTTTCTTCCACTAAAGCCTAGTTCACACTACGTGATTTTAAGCCCGATTTGCAAATCGTTGAGTCGCCGACAAGTCAGGGTGTTATCGCGGGCGATTAGCGGACGATTAACGCTCGCCAATCCGTTAGTGTGAAAGAGCCAACAACGCATCAAAGACAGCTCGCAGACAGGTCACCGAGCTCAGAAAAATATCTAGCATGCTAGATGTCTCGAGCAGTCGCGCGACTCAATCTCAGTGATGTCATGAGTACAGCCAATCATAGCAACGCATGGGTTGAGGACACCAGGTAAATCTTACTTTTTCTTTTTTGCATTTTTTTTTCTCAGAGCAGATCGTCGAGCAAACAGTGTGCAGCACTAGTTTCTGTCTGACGCCCATATTCGCGTGTTGTGTTCTTCTCTGCAGTTTCGCGTCATTTCTGGTTCGTTTTATTGCGTGGTTTTTCGTTACAAAACATGGTTTCTAGACCAGATAGAATCGTGTTGTTGTCAACTCGTTATTTGTTTGATTATTTTCAGGATTTAGACCGTACTATAGTACTGAAACAGCTCTCATTGAGTCACAAATGATATGCTCTTATCATCCGATCGTGGTTGTATCTCTATGTAGTGCGTTGTTAACTCGTGTAGTGAGTTACCTCCTGTTGTGGATCAATCACGCTGTGTTGTGTGGTGTGAACAGCTAAACAACTTGAACACTCATGATTTCACTGAGAGCAAGTCATGTAGTGTGAACTGCACAGTTCAGCCTGACTTTTTAAAATCATGTAGTGTGAACTAGGCATAACTCGTGGCCTGATAGGTAGCTCGTCAAGGGGCATCGTGCGCGTTCACACTGCAGAAACGCGCCCGCGAGTGGATGACATTCCGCGTGTGTACTGTTTTTTTGCCCTTGTATCCTGTGCGCGAGTTTTGAGACTAAATAAACGCCGTAGGGCCGTTCACATATTGGGTCTCATTCATGAAACACGAGCAGAACGAATTTTTGTGTAAATCGTGTGTGAAGTGGTTCTGCCGTAAATTTTCGGATTCATTAAAATGTTCGTATTTTGGTACGCAAGAAATCTACACCTGCTCTCAGCCACGTGTAAATGGTGCGCCAAACATCCGAACGTTTTGCTCAGCTCATTAATAAGGCTGCATTTTAATTCACCTTAATCGGGTACATATTTAAACAGCATTTTGAAAAAAATTACATCCGTTTTTTCTTTTTACTTTTACTATGAGAGCCAGTAATAGATCTGGTGATCGATGGTGGTCCTTCTCCAGTTTGAATACGATTTTTCCGAAGTGATTTTCCCGAAAAAATTCCTTTTTTTAAATTTTTACTGCTGTCAAGCTTAATGTTGAACCATTTTCTTCTCACTTCTGGGACTGTTCGATTAACCTGTTAACTGTCACCCCCCCTTTTTTTGAATAGACATGAAAATGTACATTTCGGACTTAAATGGTTGTAATTCAAGAATGCTTTGGAATATAGACATATGATTGGTCTTGTTTTAAAGAAGACATTTGGCAATTTTTGTAGAAGTGAAATAAATTAAGAAAGTGAAACAGAAAAAAAGTTATAGAAGTTTGAGTTTATGGAAATGTACAATGTAAAAATATTAATTATTCATATTTTACATAAAATATATATTTTCAAAACCTGGGCTACTCTAAAATGGCAGAAAGATCAAAGCCAAAAATCTGAACAAGTTGTGTTTCAAATTTTAGGTTGATATCTCAAAAAATGAGCTTTCAGTAAGATTTTGTTTGAGCGCAGTACCAAACTTTTCCACTAGGGCACAATCAGACTCCATTACTGCCCATATAAGGGCGCCTGCATTTCCATTCGTGTTTTGAGTGATATGAACTATTATTTTCACAATTTTCATACAATTTCTGAAGTAGAGATCCTATTCAGAAGTAGCATGGGAAGTTTGGCAGATTTTGATATGAATTGAACCTCTAAGAAACACATACAAAGAACACGCATGTAAGTCATAGCTAGCTGCCACGTCACAAATGGTGAATTTATTATTTTTTTCTTGATATTTCAAACTTTTCAGACCTTTTTTTCCAAAATAATTGAATGGATTCTATCTTTTGAACTTTTGGCATGAAAACAAACTGAGGTATCTACCATTTTTTCATGATTTTTCATGTTTACTGCTATTTTAAAATAAAGGTCTGAACACGCCTTATGAGTATGAAAATATTCTTGTTTTATATTGATAAATTATGGCTCCTCTGTAATATATTTTGAAAATCAGTCACCAAATATGGAAACTAGAGATTGTAAGCTTTCAAATGATATATAGTTTGTCAATATTATTTAAGGTATTTACTAAGATATTATTGTTTTAAAAATATAGTGGCAAACGTCCCACCTGTGGGACGGTGACAGTTAAGTGGTTTAACAGATGAACGTTGTAACGGATAGAGAGTCGGATTAAAGTGCGTGTCTGAGTGAAGACGCGAGATGTTTCAAAAGTGGTGCGGACAATATCGACCCCGGCAAATTACTCCTGTGTTTACTGCGCGGTAAACAAGTGTTCCATTGAGGACACAGCCGAAGTGCAACTCATCATGGGAAGCCAGATCGCACTCGAGTTCATCCAAACAACCAAACCAAGTTTAAAAACAGCATAATTTACCAAGGCTGATGCTGGAGAGGAAGAACAGTGTGATTTTGCGCTTTAGAGAAATGAGATCACAGCACAAACAGTCACTGCCGGAGATGGTTAGCGTAGCACAGTTCAAGGAAATGAATGTTCCTCTGCTGACAGCACGGAGCTGCAGATGGAGAGCTGTTGATTTTCTTTGTCTCTTGTTGATTTTAGAAGGTGAAGCTGGGCGTATAAAACAGAGAATCAGTCAGCCTTGACGCACCTTTGTCAGACGGCGATAAGAAAACTACCTCTGAGTCTGAGAAACTCTGGTTATTTTTAGCGTCTCTGTATTCTTCATCTGTTCTTCCCAGATGAACGTCCTCCATTACCTGCACAAGATATAAACATCAGCTCGGATGCGGTTGCCATAGGAACTACAAAGGCAGATGAGTGGAAACGCACTTTATCTGCCGCTTTTCCTGTTCGCATGAATCCCAGCCATGAGATGTTGCTCTTTTGTTGTTGTTTTTGTCCTAATGTACCCTGTGACCTCTGCTCAAGTTCACGCCTGCCTTTATTGGATTTCTTCCAGTTCCTCCACGGTTCGTGACGAGACCCTCCAACACTTACGCCCAGGAGTCGATGGACATCATCTTTGAGTGTGACATCACCGGGTCCCCGCCGCCCACCGTCAGATGGATGAAGGACGGAGACACAGTCATTCCCAGCGACTATTTCAGGATAGTGGTGCGTTAGACCGTCTCCTCGCTGCATATTACACACCTATCTGTTATAAACACTCATATTAGCTAGTTCTGTTTCTTGGCAGATGGAAAGATAGATAGATGAATGGAAAGATAGATAGATGGATGGATGGATGGATGGATGGATGGAAAGACAAATGGATGGATGGATAGATAGATGGAAAGATAGATGGATGGAAAGATGTATAGATGGATGGATGGATGGGTAGATAGATGGATGGATGGATGGATGGATGGATAGATAGATAGATAGATGGATGGATGGATGGATGGATGGATGGATGGATGGATGGATGGATAGATGGAAAGATAGATGGATGGAAAGATGTATAGATGGATGGATGGATGGGTAGATAGATGGATGGATGGATGGATGGATGGATGGATGGATGGAAAGATGGATAGATAGATAGATGGAAAGATGGATAGATAGATAGATAGATAGATAGATAGATAGATAGATGGATGGATGGATGGATGGACGGACGGATGGATGGATGGATGGATAGACAAATGGATGGATAGATAGACAAATGGATGGATAGATAGACAAATGGATGGATGGTTAGATGGACGGATGGATGCCTGTTCCAACCCCTTTTAACTGTAGCAATAGTGTTAAATCCTAATTTTGTTTATTTATTTAGGTTGTTTTTTTTATTAAATTGTTATTTTTGTGCATTTTTTAAAAAATTTTATTTAGGTTTTTTGCTTTTTTTTTATTATTTGTAGTATTATTAGTGTTAACTATATGAATACAGTTTTAAATTCTGATTTTAGTAATCGTCTAGCAATAAATAATAAATAAACAGAATATGCATATAAAGAGCCGCTAAATGGATTCGTTTCGTACATTAATGGCACGTCAGTTTGTACCCTTGTACATACAGTGCCAGCCGCCATTAATCATTACACAACTGTGTTGTGTTTAACACGTTAGTGTTGTTCCTTCTCATGAAATGGTGTGTTTTGTTGTCTGTTTCCCCACAGAAGCAGCATAACCTGCAGGTTTTGGGTTTAGTGAAGTCAGATGAAGGTTTTTATCAGTGTTTAGCGGAGAACGACGCCGGGAACGTCCAGGCCAGCGCTCAGCTCATCATACTGGATTTAGGTAAACTCTCTTTACACTGCAAATGTGTGTGTGTGTGTGTGTGTGTGTGTGTGTGGTTGTACCTGTATTCCTGAAGCGTGTACAGAAAAGCTCAGACCAGCTTCAGAGTCAAATCCCTTTAGATCTCGAGTGTTTATTCTAGCGTTGGGCTAAAGACTTGCCAAGACTCACCAATTGATCTTTTGACTGGAATTAAACACAGAAATCATTATCACAGGGTGGGTCGTAGCAGTCCGTCACTGATGCTTTCTGGGGATGAGTCCAAAAGCTTTTGTGGCTTTCGCATCCCGTTGAATAACACAGGGCTATACTAGGACCGGCCACTGGGGGGCGATCGAGACGTTTTGGCTTCACTTTTGAGGGCTTGTGCGACACGCTTGGTTCAAACTTGTTGCGATGGTGTTGTGGGTGGATGCGTTACTACCATAGACTTTAAAAAAAAATGGACATTGTGTCTGTGACGTCACCCATTGGTGTCTGAAGAGCATTTTTGAAGCCCAAAGTGGGTGGAACCGGCGGTCGCCATCTTGGCAGCGCGTCATTCCCGGATAAACGAAAGGATTAGCTTAGCTGAGGTGACGTGACGCTAACAGACAGCAGACGAACGGCTAGTAGTGACATCAATCAAGTGGCCACGCCCTTAATTATGTAGAACTTTAAGACTTAATATAATTTAAACAGACGAGTTATAAAAAAAGATAAGATAAATTCTTAAATCTCAAGAATCGATTAGTCGTCCTGTTTCATTTGAATGAATGGATCATTGTATCGCAGCTGCCCGCATCCAAAAAATTTGAACAATCTTTGTCCTTTGTTACTATTGATATGAAACAAAGTCTCAATTTTCAAATTATGTCCATTTTCTTTAGAAATTCAAAAACATAAATAACGTTTTGTCGCTGTGGCGTGAGATCAAGAGAAGCAGCAGCGCTGATCTCTCTTCCGGCTTAATAATACCAGTCACAGCGCCAAATAAACATGAATGAGCATCTGAAAGTGTGTTAAAGATAGAGTACAACTTATCCAAATCCGTATCATGTCACATTGATTCGCTCAATCAGCGTTTCAACCGTGGAAAGACGTCAGTTAAACAGCTTGTAATCAATGTATCGTCATATTTACCTCAGAAAACCCACATAAACTCGTTAGTCAGCTAGAAAAAATAACTCTAGAGAGGAGCATTTTGCTAAATATATACACCATATTACATATACATCATAATCGTAATGTTCTTAAATTTGCATATTTGAATAAATCTGGCCAGTTTTTATGACAGCCACCATTTAAATGTTTATATTTCATATAATCTTCTTATTATAAAATAAATAAAAGTGTAATTTAAGTGTTGGTATAGCTACAAAACAGTTCATTATTACCTTCATATTAGGCTAATGAAGCCTAGCAGGCTACAACTAGACGCTACAATTTGATTCCCTTGAGAAAATTTGACATTTATTGTAACTGATATCCAAAATAAACAATAATCAAAATCGAATTGAATTGCAAGCTTGTGAATCGAAATCGAATCGAATTGTGAAATTTGTCTCAGTACCCAGCCCTAGTCGTCATGAAGGACAAAATTAGCTATATAGACCAAAACCACGTTTTGCACCAGGCCGTCGAGACTCTTAGCATAGTGGTCTGTGAGATTGGGTCTCTATTAATGAATCGCCGTTTAAGTCACTTCCGTGTCGGATTCATGCGATGTGAGAGACAGGAAGGTTGCCGCTTGGTTTCTTAGATGCTCTGCATGGTTTAGTCCATCTGAGTGTGTTCGGCAGCTTCTCTTCGCAGGCGTTGCATTGGGACGCAGTGAATGAAGGCTTGAACACACGTTCTCACACGCGGGGCAGAGGCGTAAATGACGCTGCATTGATTGGCTGCTGGTGTGAGATCTGTTTGGCACCTGGCACGGGTGTAGAGATCTCGCCGCTGAATGTTTAATTAACCGCGCCGCTTTATTAGATACGTCTGCATGCTCTTCATTTTCATGTAGCATTAGCCCTGCAGTATGTGTGTGTGTGTGTGAATCTCGTTTAATAATGCCGGTCTCTCCCGCTTTACTGAGGTTTAGTTTGCAAACTGACACCAATGAACCACCAAATTAATTGAAATTGAAACCGTCTATTGACACGTCGTTATTCACTGATCAGATTTCACTAGAGGAAGTGGATTTAAGCTCTCATGGGTAGTGGTTACTTAAGATTTCAGAAGTCTTAATTATGACGTGATTTTGGTCTAATGAATGTGTCAGGATATGCGTTGTTAATGTTGTGCTAAATCAGCTTTATTGCTTTTTTTATCAACCGTACACAAAAGTGACTCATTTAGGTTGCATTATAATTGTAATAGTTACAATTATTAATATTAATTTTAGTGTAGTATTAAATTATGTTGTTGTTGCGGATTTGATTATTAGTTCCCAACTGTATTAAACTCATTTTACTATAAACATCATCAAATGGCGTGAGTTTGGGGTGGGTCTATTTTTTTGGACAACCAATGACAGACTTTCTCTGGTAATACAATGTTGTGAGCTTTTGTTTGTGTTGCTTGTTTGCGATCATCAAATGTGATTTTTATTTATTTTAATTAGTTAAGTAAGTTAGTAAGTTAATTAGTTAAGTAATTGTCCGAAGCCCCGCCCACTTCTGTTTTTAACCCAATACAGATAGAAATATTTTTAGGGCCCGAGGCCCCTATTGAAACTGTTAGGATTATTATTTTATTTTATTTTTTTCTGCAAAGTAAGCGCCATTTTCGCGGCCGCAACATGCTCAAAAACTCACCAAATTTGGACTGGTGAAAAATTTCGTATTTTGTGGGTTTCGCGGATGGGCGTGGCAAAATTGCTCGCTAGCGCCAGCTAGAAAATTGGAAAAAATTTGCCCCTCGTCCACGTTCAAACTACATGCACGAAATTTGTTGGGATTGTGTATCGTATCAAGCCGCACAAAAAGGCCTCAAGACAGGAAGCCCGCCGTTTTGAATTTGGCGGCCATTTTGGGGCCATTTACATACTCCGTACTTTGACGAACTCCTCCTAGGGATTTAGTCGGATCGACATAAAATTTCTTCTCTGCCTTTTCGTATTTTCGTCGATGGGCGTGTCCGTGGCGTCGATGATTCGCCATGAAACAGGAAGTTGTAGTAACTTGGCTGTAAATGCCCAGATCTGCATGAAATTTTACACATTTGACAAGAGTCCCGCCCTGAACAAATCTACATGCCGACATTCACCCACAGTCATAGCGCCACCTGCTGGCAACAGGAAGTGAGCTTTAACGAAGCAGCCCCCGGCGCATGTTTGACCGACATGTCCGAATTTTCTATGGTACATCTACCATGTCCAGACGCACAGAAAATTCTCTTGGAGCGATGCCCTAAACTCGACAGGAAGTCGGCCATTTCTAATTTTACCGACATTTTTGGATGACGTGCTCATTACGTACTTTAACAAACTCCTCCTAGAGATTTAGTCGGATCGACTTCAAATTTCTGCTGTGCCTTCTAAAGGCATTGACGATGTAAAGTTGTGCTATCTGCGCGTTTTCGTCGATGGGCGTGTCCGTGGCGTCGGCGATTCGCCATGAAACAGGAAGTTGTTGTAACTTCAGTGTACATCCTCAGACCTGCGCAAAATTTTATACTTTATACAACAGTCCCGTCCTGAACACATGTACATGCCGAAATTAGCCAACAGTCATAGCGCCACCTGCTGGCAACAGGAAGTGACCTTTAATGAAGCAGCCCCCGCCGCACGTTTGACCGACATGTACGGAATTTCTGTGGCACATGGATCATGTCCAGACATACAAAAAAGCCTCTTGGAGCAATGCCCTAAACTCAACAGGAAGTCGGCCATTTTGAATTTTACGTCAATTTTTGGGCGATTTGGATGCGTAGCGAATTCATAACCGCACCGGCTGAGCTCCAGAATATGCAACGCGGCCGCATACCCCGACGAGCTACAGGTGCGAGGGCCCGCCGATTGCTGCTTGCAGCTTTAATTGAGATTGTTACTGATCTTGAGTCGTTTCCTAAGAGGTTGTGTTGTTTCCCATCAGCACCTCTTAGAAACAGGACCACTTTATCATGACTGGGAGGAAGAAAAGAGGAAATGAAATCCTGATAATGAAATAAAAAAGGTCCACGGGGACGATCCGTCACGGTGGAGTTTAGCAGACAGTTGGTGGCGGCTGATTTCAGTGATTGAAGCATCACTCTCAGTTATTGATTATGTTTCTGTGGGAGTTTGGAGAAGGAAAAGTCGCCATTTAATCTCTGTGTTGTTTAAGAGAAACAGGCATCAGGATGGAGCGAACCGCTGTGACCTCGCGTCACTGTTTCTGATGTGCTTGTGTCTTTCCTCTAAACATTTGCTCTCAAACTCTCCAATTACACGAGAGCTTTGTTTTGATTGAAGAAATAATCCACTTCAGGACTCTTGCAAATCAGTCCAGGCCCTTGTGTTGATTTCCTGCGGTGCGCGTGTATGATCCTTCACAAGTCATTTGCATTGGAGGTTCTCAGAAAATAAACATTAGGGATGGTTTACCTAGAAATGAACATCCTGTTATCCTTTACTCACCCGCAAACCCATACGCCTTTTCTTTCTTCCGCTAACGTCACAATGAAAGTCAATGGGGTCCAAAACAAGCCCATTGATTTCCATTGTATGGACAAGTGCTGAGACTATATATATATATATTAGGGCTGTGCAAAAATTAATTGCGATTAATCACATCCAAAATAAAAGTCTGTGTTTACATAATATATTTGTGTGTGCTGTAGATAATTATTTTGTATATATAAATACACACACATGCATGTATAAATTTAAGAAAATGTGTTACTCGTATATAAAATATTTATATAATATAGATTATGTATTTATATATATATATATATATATATACAGAATTTAAGCACAAATAATTCTTAAATATATACATGCATGCATAGGTATTTATATATACAAAATAATTATACACAGCACA